AAGTTCATTTCTTTAGATTTGTTTACTGCCAGCCTTCAAGCATAGCCCACTGACTAATAAGAAAGTTTTTCTTCCTTATTCAGTGGAATCGGGCACATTTCGGATATGCAGTTGGTTAGTACCTCGTCCACTAGATGGAGTGACATTTTGTTGTTCGCTCCAACTTAGGAAGAGGAATGAAATACTCTGAAAGAATTTCGATTTTCAATTATGGAATATCATTGACTTCAGGTCGATGGTGGCCACTATTTTGCACTGATGAGTGGCTAATGAGTCCGAAACCGGTCTACAAGTGTGCCCGTTCCAAAATTGAAGGTCGACTCTTTCAGTTGTATTGCCAATTGTATATGCACTAAATGCAGTAAATTTTCTTTGAAGATTCCTGCACTGACGCCTGTCGGATATAATCCAACGCCCTTCGTGGTATTAGCCAAGGTAGTAGTTGTTTTCTGATAGGCTTCAGTCCATTCAACTGTGTAGGTATATTCGAGACTGGCTTGAACGTTTAAAGGTAATTTTAATTTCTTTAGATTTGTTTACTGCCAGTCTTCAAACATAGCCCACTGACTAATAACAAAGAAATGAATTTGAGGGAAGCTTTACTACGCTACAATATCCCAAAAAGCACTCTACATGATAAAACATCGGCATTGAACCGTGGAGAAGAAGTGACCCTAGTACGAACGAGTTTTAGTGGACCACGTAAAAGATTTATCCAATAGATGTCTGCCGCTGATGAAAACGGATTTTCTGAAGTTAGCTTTCGACTTGGCTGAAGCAATGAAGATTCCCCATCGTTTCAACAAAGAAAAGCAAGCTGCTGGGAAGGAGTTTTATTATGATTTTATGCAGATACATCCGGACTTTTTATTGAGAGCACATGTGTCGACAAGCATGATGCGAGCCGTAGGGTTCAATAAACCGCAAGTCAATATATTTTATGACAACATGGAACACAGCTAATAACACAGTACAGATTTCCACCTTCCAACATTTATAACTGTGATGAAACCGGAGTCAGATGCGTGCACAAACGTCAAAAAGTTCTCGCCCCGAAGGCTGTTCGTCAAGTGGGAAAGCTCACTTCTGCTAAAAGGGGCAAAAATGTATTGGCCGGGTATCAATGACGATATTGAAAAACTAACCAAAGAATGTCAAAATTGTTCTCTCAATAAGGCCAGTCCTCAAAAAAATACATTTATTCCTTGGAAATGGCCTGAAGAAATTTTTAACAGAGAACATATCGATTATTTTGGACAATTTTTGGATTATTACTTTTTAATTGGACTAGATGCACATTCTAAATGGATTGAAATCTTCACTAAAAATAAACGATTTCTTCAAGTTTTACTGTTTAGTAGCTGACAATGCCCGGAATTTCACAAGTTCTGAATTTCAGTCATTTTTGGAAAATTACGATATCACACAAGTAACGTCACCTCCTTTCAATCCTCAGTCAAACGGTGCTGCAGAGGTAACAGTAAAAATTGTCAAAAACTCATTGAAAAATGCTCTTGGCAATAATATAAATATTTATATTTCTGCAGAATTAAACAATTTTCTGTTCGATTACATACGTTCTGTAACAGAACGTCTGTATATTCCACAACAGGTATTTCTCCTTCAGTTTTGGTTTTCGGGCGTGATATACGTACAAAACTCAACTTGCTCAAATCTCCTGTATATAGACGAAATCAGGAAAAAAGTTCTCCAAAAGCAAGCAGAACAAATAGAAAATTTTGGAGGGAACGAAAGACCGACATTTAACGTCAATGAACACGTTATTGTGGAAGATTATCATTCAAACAAAGTAACATGGATACCTGCGATAATAAAAAAAATTATTGGCGAATGTACATATACAGAGGGTCTTTCACGACGAGCGTTCGTTAGGAATATATGGAGAACGATTCAAAATAAAAAATTTAAATTTTGTGGTAGTGGGTTTTACAAAATGGCCTTCTCAACTGAAATATTTTCAACTTCCGGTCTCTTTCCGTTATACCGGAAGTTGAGGGCAACTTCCTTATTTCAACTGGGACACCCTGTATTTTATTACATTTTTTAATTTCTCAGTACATTTCAGGCCCACTTTGTAAAACAATGCCTATACCCAAATTTGTTAGTTTTCGAGATATTAATTTTTTTCTGAAAAATTCGACATTTACAGCACTACTCCGAAAAAATTCATAACTCAAAAACAGTAACAGTTGAAAAGTAAAAGTTCACACCTTAAGCATCGAGTCATGAACAGGTCCATCGAATTTTCGACAATAATTCACAGGGTAATCGAAATTTCCACTTAAAACATAACATCAAGAAAACTGATGAAACACGATTTTTTCAAATGGAAACCATACACTATTCTATTATTTTTGGATATTACGAAAAAAAAGATATCAAATTCATGAAGAATGGCCTATACCTGGCAAGATATATCCGATTTTGGAAAAAAAGCCATACAAATCGGATCTTGAAATCAGATGTTAAATGTCTTTTACCTATCGGTGATAATGAACAAAATGAAGAAAAATCTGAAATCGTTGAACCAAACTGCTCAAGTTCATCTGAAGAATTTCAAGGAAACAGTTCTATCTTGATTCCCGAAACATTAGGTCATAGAGGTGAATCTATTACAAATACGGGGAGGACAAAATGTAATGTCAAGCCTCCGGAAAGATTAATTTATAAGTAATCAGGTTCATTACCGAATAAATTTGTACTTATAGGTTTATGATTTGGACGACGAGTTATCATTCTTATATGCCATGTGATTAGGAATAACCAGTATTTAATGTCTATAGAAAGAATACTAGTACTTTCAGATATATTCCTGAGATCTCACACCTTTGTCCACAACACAAAATGGCAGGAACAAAATTTTATTGTCCATAAGCTTGTTACGTTCCTCAGGAGTAAAGATATGATAATGAGAAAAATGTTATCAGGGACATATCTGAAAGCAACGGGTATTCTTCAACGGGTATGAATTAACCAAGAAACGTAAAATTAGGGCAAATCTTCGACTTTTCAAAAAGAAATTAATTCATAGTGCATTGCCCTTCCGTATGAACCAAGATACACTAACGAATGAGATCATATTCATTGTGAAAATAGCCTTCAATTTTTTTTACACACTTCTACAAATATAAGGTAACCGTTAAGAAATGATGGAAAATGAAGAGTGAGGAATATATGAAAAAGCGGTGAGAACTATGACAAAAAATATATCGGTCAGACAAAGCGAGCTATTCTAATTTGTTCCTAAGAACACATATCTGATTTCAGTGTCTCTCAACACGCTTTGGAGAACGGCCATTGAATAGATGAAAACTATCTAAAGTCGGTACCTGACACTAGAATTTGGATGCTTTTGTAAGTCTGAAAATACACAGCCCATTGTTTACCTTTATGTCAATCACTCTGTTAAAATAATGTGTATGAAAGTGCACCCTGTTGAATAGAAATAGAGGCCAGATTTAGAGTTAGGGAACAGTATTGAACCCTGTTTATAACGAATATTATTCCATAGTTACATTGCATATTTAAAAATACCAACATTCACTTTGAACAATTTTATTACTTATACAGACACCATTACAAAAGTTTACCTAAAGAAATTGACAAGTTAAGTACAAACTAATTTCTATCCCGGTTATGAATATAATAACCTCTAGAAACACCAATCAAATTCTCGTGGAGACGGACAAATTTTCCGAAGTCTATCACTGGAGAAATTTGATCACTATGTGAAATGCCATAATAAATAGAGAATCCCTCAAGTTTGCCACACCCGCACGTTTCCAGGATTATGTAAATACTAATTTTATACTTTAAATACAAATAACACTCTAAAACAAAAAGCAACTTATTCTATTTTTGAAAGTAGTCACTTTTGAATTCTCAACTTAGATGGTTTTATTCTCAATTCTCAGCTGGCAAAATGATATAAAATATTTGACAATCTCAGAAAAATCAATAATAGTTAATACTGAATATTTCCCAGTTCAACTTCGCACACTCACTTTCTAAATCAGGTCAGCCATATTCATAGGCATTTCATCAAAATTGGTATTATAAAAGTGTTCGATGTATTTCAGTAGGTATGACCAAACCTGCCGCCACGACCAATCCTAGAAAACAAAAAAAAGTATTGAAAAGTATCTTTATAAATAAATATGGTCGTTATTTGATTATCATCATCAGTTATGAAACAGTTCACATCAGTACCATCAGCGATCTTGGTGGAAAAATAGCATCATAAAATAAAATAAAATAAGTATAATAATTTTAGTGATTCTGAAATCTTGTGACCAATATTAGTATTGCATAATGTGCGTAATTGAAACATTTATGTTAAACCATGTTAAAACATTTATGTTAAAAATTTGATATATGATTTGGAATGGACTTGTATATAAGTATAAGTGAAGATAAGTACCTAATTTATAACAAGTGAAACTTGTTGCACATCGATACCACGAGCCAACAAATCTGCAGTGATTAGGATCCTGGAAGATCCGGTTCTGAACTGTCTCATAATGATATATCTCTCTCTTTTTGCTCCATATTTCCAGGAATAGCAACAACAACTTGAACGTCCGCATTGACGGTTTTGAAAATATCTTGGATTTGATATGAGAACCCTTGAGAGAGCATTTCATCAGCTTCATCCAGTACGAACATCTTGATGATTATATCACATTTGTACCACCAATACAAGCATGGCATTTAGTAGACATACAGTTTCCTAACGCCAGCACTACTTTCTGGATCTGCAGAGCCAGCTAGCGGGTTGGAGCTAAAATCAAAGCTTGTCACTCTTCTATCTTGGTATCGATATTCTGCAGGATTGAAATAGAGAAGGTTGCTGTTTTACCAGTACCCCATTGGACTTGGACGATAACCTCATATCCTTCTATGCAAGGGATGATCGCTCTTTGTTAAATCGCAGACGGTTTTTCAAAACCATAGGCGTGAATACCTCTGAGAAGGTAATCTTACAGGTTCATGTCGTCAAAGTTATCGACGACAGTATCGTAGTTTGTCCGTATGACTCCGTCAGGTTGCATTCTTGCAGGTCCGCCAAGAGCTGCAGCTCCTTCCATATCATCTTCATCATTCCTGCAAAAAATTATACTTTACGAATTTTGAACATATTGTAAAACCGGCTACATTGAAATGTGTGGTTACTGTTTATCTGCCTGCAACTATAACTGAACCACAAAGATCAGTCCTCACGGATGACTGTTTGAAAACTGTACCCACTGATGAGGTATAACTAGAGAAATAGGTTCAAACTTCGTTGGCTTAAAGACTTAATGATTCATTATATTTTCAATCTACCTCAGATTTTATATATATTTCATTGAACCTCTACAATACTAACCACAAATAAATTTAAGTTAATCTAAATGGACCTAACCATGCTGGAAGAAGTAATTATACAGGCAGTTGTCGAATTTTGTTGTTTGGCTCAACCGCCTCCATTTCGAATGATACGAAAAGTGACAAAATAACTGTCAAAACTGTTTCGTATTTGTTACAAACTGATATGAACCAATTTGCGATACGACGTTTCGTTCATTAGATATCAACTTAATTTTTTTGAATAAGGACCAGTATACATAGATAAATTTGTTACAACGTACACATAAAATTGTTTCATGCCTTCCAGAGTGAGCTTATCTTTCTAGACAAGAATTTGCATTGGATCCCTCATGTAAGCTTCAGGTATCTTCAAAACTCCATTTTGCATGATCCCCAACAGACACAACTTGAACGTCCGCATTGACGGTTTTGAAAATATCTTGGATTTGATCTGAGAACCCTTGAGACAGCAGTTGCTCAGTCTCATCCAGTATGAACATCTTGATGTGACTTGTTTTCAAGGCGCCACGTTTAATCATGTCATATACTCTACCAGCTTCAAGTTTCCTGATATCTTGTCTGACATTTGTACCACCTATACAAGCTTGTCATTTAGTAGACATAAAGTCTCCTAACGCAATCACTACTTTCTGGATCTGTTGAGCCAGCTCTCAGGTTGCAGCCAAAATCAAAGTGACACTCTTCTATCTTGGTCTCAATGTTCTGCAGGATTGAAATTGAGAAGGTTCCTGTTTTACCAATACCCGATTCGGCTTGGGCGATAACGTCATATTTTTTTATGCAAGGGATGATCGCCGTTTGTTGAATCGCAGACGGTTTTTCAAAACCATAGGCGTAAATACCTCTAAGAAGGCCATCTTTCAGGTTCATGTCGTTAAAGTTATCGACGACAGTATCGTAGTTTGTCTGTATGACTCCGTCAGGTTGCATGCCTGCAGGTCCGTCAAGAGCTGCAGCTTCTTCCATAGCATCTCCATTATTCCTGCAAAAAAAGTATACGTTACGAATTTTGTGCATATTGCAAACCCGGCTGCAAGAAGTATTTGAAGCTATTTTTCATTGAAATTTGTGGTTATTGTTTATCTGCCTGCAACTATAACTAAACCACAAAGATCATTCCTCAAGGATGACTCTCTGAAAACTGTATCGACTGATGACGTCTAACTAGAGAAATAGGTTCAAACTTTGTTGGCTTAAAGACCTAATATTTTATTACATTTCCAATCTACCTCAGATTTTAGATATATTTCATTAAACCTCCACAATACTCATCACACAAAATCTCTATTTCGAGTGATATGAAAAGTGACAAAGTAACTGTCAAAACTGTTTCGTATTTGTTACAAACTGATATGATCCGATTTGCGATACGACGTTTCATTCATTAGATGTCATCAACATTATTTTTTTAATAAGGTCCAGTATACATAGCTAAATTTGTTATAACATACACATAAAATTGTTTGATGCCTACCAGAGTGAGCTCATCTTTCTTGACAAGAATTTGCACTGGAGTCCACATGATAGCTTCAGTTATCTTCAACACTCCATTTGGCAAGGTCGCCGACAGTAACACAACATGAACGTCCGCATTGACAGTTTTGAAAATATCATGGATTTGATCAGAGAACCCTTGAGACAGAATTTCATCAGCCTCATTCAGCACGAACACCTTGATGTGACTTGTTTTCGAAGCGCCACGTTTAATTATATCATATACTCTACCAAGTGTACCCACAAATACATGCACACCAGCTTCAAGTTTCCTGATATCTTCTCTAACATTTGTATCGCCAAAGCAAACAAGGATCTGCTGAGTCAGCTCTCGGGTTGGAGCTAAAATCAAAGCTTGGCACTCTTCCATCTTGGTATCATGTTCTGCAGGATTGAAATCGAGAAGGTTGCTTTTTTACCAATACCCTATTGGGCTTGGGCGAAAACGTCATAATTTTTTATGCCAGAGATGATCGCTCTTTGTATATCGCAGACGGGTTTTCAAAACCATAGGCGTGAATACCTCTAAGAAGTTCATCTTTCAGGTTCATGTCGTCAAAGTTATCGACGACAGTATCGTAGTTTGTCTGTATGACTCCGTCAGGTTTCATGCCTGTAGGTCCGTCAAGAGCTGCAGCTTCTTTCATATCATCTTCATTATTCCTGCGAAAAAATAATACGTTATGAATTTTGGACATATTGTAATTGAAATGTGTGGTTATTTTTCATCTGTCTACAACTATAACTATACCACCAACATCATTCCTCACAGAATGACTGAAAACTGTACCGACTGATCAGGTATAACCAGAGAAATAGGTTCAATCTTCGTTTGCTTAAAAACCTAATATTTGATTACATTTTAAATCTATCTCAGATTCTAGATATATTTTATTAAACCTCCACAATACTCATCACACATAATTTTTAGTAAATCTAAATGAACCTAACCTGGAAGAAGTTACTGTACAAGCAGTTGTCAAATTTTGTTGTTTGGCTCAACCGCCTCCATTTCGAATGATATGAAAAGTGACGAAATAACTGTCAAAAATATTTCGTATTTGTTACAAACTGATATGAACCACTTTGCGATACGACGTTTCGTTCATTAGATTATAACTTACACATAAAATTGTTTGATGCCTTCCAGAGTGATCTCATCTTTCTTGACAACAATTTGCACTGCAGACGGTTTTTGAAATCATAGGCGTAAATACCTCTAAGAAGGTCATCTTTCAGGTTCATGTCGTCGAAGTTATCGAAGACAGTATCAAAGTTTTGTCCGTCTGACTCCGTCAAGTTGCATGCCTGCAGGTTCGCCAAGAGCGACAGCTCCTTCCATATCACATATTATCTCCATCATTCCTGCAAAAAAAATGATAAGTTTCGAATTTTTAACAAATCGCAAAACCGGCTACAAAGAGTATTTGGAGCTATTTTTCATTGAAATGTATTGTTACTTTTCATCTGCCTACAACTATAACTATACCACCAACATCATTCCTCAAGAATGACTTTCTAAAAACTGTATCGACTGATGGGGTATAACCATAGAAGTAGGTTCAAACTTCGTTGGCTTAAAAAATTATTATTTTATCACATTTTTTATCTACCTCCGATTTCAAATATATTTTATTAAACTTCCACAATACTCATCCCACATAATTTTAAGTGAATCTAAATAAAAAGTGTGCAGTCTAAGTATAATTGAACTCATAGTTATGTTCAATGTTGATCGCGATAAATTAGTAAAATATAGAGGATAGACATTTACCTAATTTATAACAAATGACATTTAGTAGACATAAAGTTTCCTAACGCAATCACTACTTTCTGGATCTACTGAGACAGCTCTCGGTTTGAAGCCAAAATTAAAGCTTGGCACTCTTCTACCTTGGTATCGATGTTCTGCAGGATTGAAATCGAGAAGGTTGCTGTTTTACCAGTACCCGATTGGGCTTAGGCGATAACGTCATATCCTTTTTTATGCAAGGGGTGATCGCTCTTTGTTGAATCGCAGACAGTTTTTCAAAACCATAGGCGTTAATACCTCTAAGAAGGCCATCTTTCAGGTTCATATCGTCAAAGTTACCGACGACAGTATGGTAGTTTGTCTATATGACTTCGTCAGGTTGCATGCCTGCAAGTCCGTCAAGAGCTGCAACTATTTCCATAGCATCTCCATTATTCCTGCAAGAAAATTATACGTTACGAATTTTGAACATATTGCAAAACCGGCTACATGGAGTATTCGGAGCTATTTTTCATTGAAATGTATGGTTACTTTTCATCTGCCTACAACTATAACTATACCACCAAGATCATTCCTCAAGGATGACTTTCTGAAAACTGTATCGACTGATGAGGTATAACCATAGAAATAGGTTCAAACTTCGTTGGCTTAAAAAACTAATATTTTATCACATTTTTAATCTATCTTTGATTTTAAATATATTTCATTAAACTTCCACAATACTCATCCCACATAATTTTAAGTAAATCTAAATAAAAAGTATGCAGTCTAGGTATAATCGAACTTATGGTTATGTGTAATGTTGATCGCGATAAATTAGTAAAATATAGAGGATCTATTTGGCTGACATTTACCAGTTTTTATTCATATACTTTCAATAATTTTTAAAGACACTCTGCATGAAAAATTGACGTTTTTGGACTGTAACGTCATACAAATCAGGTCTTGAAATCAGAAGTTAAATGTCTTTTACCTATTGCTGATAATGAAAGTGGAAAACAGAACGAAGAAAAATCTGAAACCGTTGAACCAAACTGCTCGAGTTCATCTGAAGAATTTCAAGGAAAAAGTTCTGTCTCGATTCCCGAAACATTCGATCATGGAGGTGAATTCATTAGAAATACGGGGAAGTCAAAATTTGATGTCAAGCCTCCGGAAAGATTAACTTATAAGTAATCAGGTTCATTGCGACGAGTTATCATTCTTGTATGCCATGTGGTTAGGAAAAATCAGAATTTTATGTTTATAGAAAGAAGACTAGTACTTTCAGATATATTCCTGAGATCTCAAACCTTTGTCCACAACACAAAATGGCAGGGCCAAAATTTTGTTGTCCATAGGCTTGTTACGTTCCCTTTGAGTATATGACAATGAAAAAAATTTTATCAGGGACATAGCTGAAAGCAACGGGTATCCTTCAAATATAGTATATGAATTAATCAGGAAATATATAATGTGTATGAAAGTGCACCCTGTTGAATATAAATAAAGGCCAGATTTAGGAGTTAGGGAATATTATTGAACCCAGTTTATAACGAATATTGTTCCATAGTTGCATTGTATATTTTAAAAGACCAAAATATACTTTTACCAATTCCATTACTTATAAAGAAACCATTAAAAAAGTGTACCTAAAGAAAATGATAAGTAAAGTACAAAATAACCAACTTGAGTATACTTAATGTTGATTCAAAGAATATTCTTCTATACTGCTTATGAATATAATAACCTCTTGAAATACCAATCAAATTCTCGTGGAGACGAACCAGTTGCCCGAAGAAATTTGATCTCTAAGTGAAATACCATAATAAATAGAGAATCACACAGGTTTGCCACACCCGCACGTTTCCAGATATACGTGAATAATCATTTTACACTTTAAATACAAATAACACAAAAAATAAAGGAATTTATTCTATTCTTGAAAGTAGTCACTTTTGAATTCCCAAATTTGATGGTTTTATCCTCATTTCTCAGCTGGCAAAATGATTTAAAATATTTGACAGTCTCAGAAAAATTAATAATAGTTAATGCTAAAAATTTCCCAGTACAACTTCGCATACTCACTATACTTTTCTGAATAAGGACAGCTATATTCATAGACACTTCATCAATCTTGGTATTATAAAGTTGTTTAATGTCTTTCAGTGTACGCTTGTCTTCCTCCGCAACAAAATTTATAGCTACGCCCTTACGACCAAACCTGCCGCCACGACCAATCCTAGAAAAAAAAAGTTTTGAAAAGTGTCCTTATAAATAAATATGGTCGTTATTTGATTATCATCATCAGTTATGAAACAGTTCACATCAGTACCATCAGCGATCTTGGTGGAAAAATACCATCATAAAATAAAATAAGTATAATAATTTCAGTGATTCTTAAATCTTGTGACCAATATTAGTCTTGCATCATGTGCATAATCGATACACTAATGTTGAACTAGTTCAAACAATTTGACATTGAGTGATTTTGAATGGATTTGTATAAGTCTAAGTAAAGATAAGTAACTAACCATGCTGGAAGAAGTTACTATACAGGTCATTTTTTTTAGCTGATTCCTCTGTTGCTATCCCGGAAACGGTAATACCTACAAAGTCGGTTGAATTGGACAAAAAAGTCTTATTTAGAAAAAATAAGACATATCTCATATCGAGAATATTTGTGGTTGTTTTTGAAATATTCACTAAAAACTTGAACTGTCGAATTTTGTTTTTTGACTCAACCGCCTTTATTTCGAATGATATCAAGAGTGGCAAAATTACTGTCAGAACTATTTCATATTCGTTACAAACTGATATGAAACAATTTGCGATACGACGTTTCGTTCATTATATGTCATCATCAACTTATTTTTTTTAAATTACGACCAGTATTCATAGCTAAATTTGTTATAGCAGTTCTTACAAAACTAGATGAAAACAACTAGAAGTCTGTATTTGAAAAAATAAAGTTGTTGATGAAATCCAATGAACGAAACGTCGCATTGTAAATTGGTTAATAGCAGATCATAACAAATTTAGAACAGTATTGAAAGTTCCTTTGCGGTTTTTTATATCTCTTTAAATGAAGGCGATTGAGCTGAAAAACGAAATTCGACAATTCTAGATTTTGGCGAATATTTTAAAAACAACCACTATTATTCTCGATCTGAAAAGATATTCTAGTTCCCCAAAACAGGGAACTTTTAACTATAATTCAACCGTAGGTCTTACAGTTTCTGAGATAGCAACAGTGGGATCAGCTAAAATTAGTTATCAAAATTAGTGTGCTAAGTATTTCATTACAAGAATTTCAAGCAACATCCTTTCGAAACATAAAATGAGTATGACTCACCTGCGAATGTAGTTCTCTCTATTTGAAGGCAAATCATAATTTATAGCAAGTGAAACTTGTCGCACATCGATACTTTGAGCCAACAAATCAGCAGTGATGAGGATCCTGGAATGGTAGCGGTGTTCTGCAGGATTGAAATAGAGAAGGTTGCTGTTTTACCAGTACCCGATTGGGCCTGGGCGATAACGTCATAATATCTATTTTTATGCAAGGGGTGATCGCTCTTTGTTGAATCGCAGACGGTTTTTCAAAACCATAGGCGTAAATACCTCTAAGAAGGCCATCTTTCAGGTTCATATCGTCAAAGTTACCGACGACAGTATGGTAGTTTGTCTGTATGACTTCGTCAGGTTGCATGCCTGCAAGTCCGTCAAGAGCTGCAGCTATTTCCATAGCATCTTCATTATTCCTGCAAAAAAATTATACGTTACGAATTTGGAACATATTGCAAAACCGGCAACAAGGAGTATTCGGAGCTATTTTTCATTGAAATGTGTAGTTATTTTCAATCTGCCTGCAACTATAAATATACCAGCAAAACCATTCCTCAAGGATGATTCTCTTAAAACTGTATCGACTGATGAGATATAACCATAGAAATAGGTTCAAACTCCATTGGCTCAAACACCTATTATTTTATTACATTTTTAATCTACGTCAGGTTTTAGATATATTTCATTAAACTTCCACAATACTCATCCAACATAATTTTAAGTAAATCTAAATGAACCTAATCATGCTGGAAGAAGTTACTATACAGGCCGTTTTTTTAGTTGCTCCCACTGTTGCTATCCCTACAAAGTCGGTTGAACCGGATACATTTTTTTTCAGTTTGGGAAACTAGTACAATCATATCGAAAATATTTGTGGTTGTTTTTGAAATATTCGCTAAAAACTAGCTTTTTTCCTATTTATCGTTTATGAGTACCTTATTGTTCAATTCAATAGGAGTCGTATGGAAACCAAAGAAGGCAGTTGTCGAATTTTGTTTTTTGGGTCAACCGTCCCTTTTTCGAATGATATGAAAAGTATCAAAACTGTTTCGTATTTGTTACAAATGGATATGAACCAATTTGCAATACGACGTTTCGTTCGTTAGATATCATCAACATGATTTTTTAAATAAGGATCAGTATACATAGCTACATTTCTTATAACGTACACATAAAATTGTTTGATGCCTACCAGAGTGACCTCATCTTTCTTCACAAGAATTTGCACTGTATCCCTCATGAAAGCTTCAGTTATCTAAGGCGCCACGTTCAATCATATCAAATACTCTACCAGGTGTGCCTACAACTACATGCACACCAGCTTCAAGTTTCCTGATATCTTCTCTAACATTTGTACCACCAATGCAAGCTAGGCATTTAGTAAACATAAAGTCTCCTAACGCAATCACCACTTTCTGGATTTGCTGAGCCAGCTCTCGTGTTGGTGCCGAAATCAAAGCTTGGCACTCATCTAACTTGGTATCGATGTTCTGCAGGATTGAAATAGAGAAGGTTGCTGTTTTACCCGTACCGGATTGGGCTTGGGCGATAACGTCATGTCCTTTTATGCAAGGGATTATCGCCCTTTGTTGAATCGCAGATGGTCTTTCAAAACCATAGGCGTAAATACCTCTAAGAAGTTCATCTTTCAGGTTCATGTCGTCAAAATTATCGACGACAGTATCATAGTTGGTCTGTATGACTCCGTCAGGTTGCATGCCTGCAGGTCCGTCAAGAGCTGCAGCTCCTTCCATATTATCCCCATTATTCCTGCAAAAAAATTATACGTTACGAATTTTGAACATATTACAAAACCGGCTACATGGAGTATTTGAAGAGATTTTTCATTGAAATGTATGGTTACTTTTCATCTGCCTACAACTATAACTATACCACCAAGATCATTCCTCAAGGATGACTTTCTGAAAACTGTATCGACTGATGAGGTATAACCATAGAAATAGGTTCAAACTTCGTTGGCTTAAAAAACTAATATTTTATTACATTTTTAATCTACCTCTGATTTTAAATATATTTCATTAAACTTCCACAATACTCATCCCACATAATTTTAAGTAAATCTAAATAAAAAGTATGTAGTCTAGGTATAATTGAACTTACAGTTATGTTTAATGTTGATCGCGATAAATTAGTAAAATATAGAGGATTTATTTGGCAGACATTTACCATTTTTTATTCATATACCTCCAATAATTTTTGAAGACACCCTGCATGAAAAATTGACGTTTTTGGACTGTAACGTCATACAAATCAGATCTTAAAATCAGAAGTTAAATGTCTTTTACCTATCGCTGATAATGAAAGTGGAAAACAGAACGAAGAAAAATCTGAAACCGTTGAACCAAACTGCTCGAGTTCATCTGAAGAATTTCAAGGAAAATGTTCTGTCTCGATTCCCGAAATATTCAATCATGGAGGTGAATTTATTACAAATACGGGGAAGTCAAAATATAATGTCAAGCCTCCGGAAAGATCAAGTAATAAGTAATCAGGTTCATTACGACGAGTTATCATTCGTGTATGCCATGTGATTAGGAATAATCAGAATTTTATGTCTATAGAAAGAATACTGGTACTTTCAAATATATTCCAGAGATCTCACTCTTTGTCTACAACACAAAATGTCAGGGCCAAAATTTTGTTGTCCATAGGCTTGTTACGTTCCTCTTGAGTATATGACAATGAGAAAAATGTTATCAGGGACATAGCTGAAAGCAACGGGTATCCTTCAAATATAGTGGATGAATTAATCAAGATATATATAATATGTATGAAAGTGCACCCTGTTGAATATAAATAAAAGCCAGATTTAGAGTTAGGGAATAGTATTGAACCCAGTTTATAACGAATATTATTCCATAGTTGTATTGTATATTTTAAAAGACCGAAATATGCTTTTACCAATTCCATTACTTATAAAGAAACCATTACAAAAGTGTACCTTTTGTTAGTTAGTTATCTTCAACACTTCATTTTGCATGGTCGCCGACAGTAACACAACTTGAACGTCCGCATTGATCGTTTTGAAAATATCATGGATTTGATCTAAGAACCCTTTAGAGACAGTATTTCATCAGCCTCATCCAGTACGGACATCTTGATGTGACTTGTTTTTAAGGCGCCACGTTCAATCATATCAAATACTCTACCAGGTGTGCTTACAACTACATGCACACCAGCTTCAAGTTTCCTGATATCTTCTCTAACATTTGTACCACCAATGCAAGCTTGGCATTTAGTAAACATAAAGTCTCCTAACGCAATCACCACTTTCTGGATCTGCTGAGCCAGCTCTCGTGTTGGTGCCAAAATCAAAGCTTGGCACTCATCTAACTTGGTATCGATGTTCTGCAGGATTGAAATAGAGAACGTTGCTGTTTTACCCGTACCGGATTGGGCTTGGGCGATAACGTCATGTCCTTTTATGCAAGGGATGATCGCCCTTTGTTGAATCGCAGATGGTCTTTCAAAACCATAGGCGTAAATACCTTTAAGAAGTTAATCTTTCAGGTTCATGTCCTCAAAATTATCGACGACAGTATCATAGTTGGTCTGTATGACTCCGTCAGGTTGCATGCCTGCAGGTCCGTCAAGAGTTGCAGCTCCTTCCATATTATCCCCATTATTCCTGCAAAAAAATTATACGTTACGAATTTTGAACATATTGCAAAACCGGCTACAAGGAGTAATTGGAGCTATTTTTATTGAAATGTGTGGTTGTTTATCTGCCTGCAACTATAACTCATCCACAAAGATCATTCCTCAAGGGTGACTCTCTGGAAACTGTATCGGCTGATGAGATATAACCATAGAAATAGGTTCAAACTTCGCTGGCTGAAACGCGTAATATTTTATTATACTTTTAATATATCTCAGATTTTAGATATATTTCATTAAGCTTCCACAATACTCATCCCACATAATTTTAAGTGAATCTAAATGAAAACTATGTGTGATTGAACTTATCGATATGTTTAATGTTGATCGCGATGAATTAGTAAAATATAGAGGATCTATTTGGCTGACTTTTTCCAGTTTTTATTCATATACTTTAATAAATAATTTTGGAATACATCTTGCATGAAAAATTGACATTTTTAGGCTGTTACTTGAAAACAAAGTACTGAGGAAGGGGAGAGTAAGTAGCAGCGAAAGCTAAATAGTCGCGAATATCAAGAACAGGCCAGTCACCCGAAGATGATTGTGGATACTAACAATCGAAACGTCATGAAGTAACTTGCTTTCAAATCTTTATTTTCTATTTTTTTCCTTTCTATTTCAAATTTTTGTGTTTATCTTGATTATATTATTCCATTTGCATTCAAATTTTATTTTATCCTTTGTTGCCTATGTACCTAGATTTGACATTTCACTTATTGTTAACCCATTTATTAATTCATTTTTATTTCAGAACACAATAATATGTTTATTCTACACTTTAGCGTTTTTAATTTTTTTTGAATTTTTACTCATTGCATTAATTATTGGTCGGTTTTTGTGTTTCCATTTCATTTGTTCTTCCATAGATTTCAAATTTAGTTTTAACTTTTACCTTTCAAACAAATTACCATTCAAATTGAAAAAGGCAATATAGGTAATAGGAATGATCTAAAATTTGAAGTAGAACATAAATCTACAATAAAGTGTAGGGTGTTTCTTTTAAAATGAACAAGATAGAACTTATCCGGTACACCGGAAGTGCTGAGTAGCATAAAATATGTTAGGAGAATTGTTTCCATCATCGGTCTTCTAACAAATTTTGATAATTTTTATATCTATAATTTTAATGTCTATCAACGAGTAATCATTTAGAACTTTCTGTGGGAGTACTCTTGACCACAAAGTAAAAACTATGGTCAGCAACTGCCGAAAATGTAGCGCTAGTTCATTTAACTTTATTCAGGTGACATTTTCAATGCAAATGAAGATAGTAAAATCATTAGGTTGGTTTCGATTTGATATTCTTTAATTAATACCTCTATATAGAAAAGAATCCTGGGAGAATTATAAAAGTTTCACAGCGATCTTGAAAATCTCAAATTCAACAGTCGATAGTATTAATGAAAAATATCCCTTCACAATATTCATTGAAATTGATATTGAAAGTCAAAGCACAGATGAAAAGATTCCTGTTTGAACTACCACAAAATTTGTTCGTGTTATCAATACAAATATAAACGATTTCTGTTATTATCAAATCAATTTCCTATAAACTTCAACTTGCTCATAAAGTGCCTGAAGAAGTACAATTAGACAGTGGGTGGGAACATTAGCAGGCATTAATAATTTATCTGTCACACTCACGTACCTTCCTTTGTAAAATAATGGAGGAGCTACTATTTTCCTACAATGTCGCCAGATGAACAATTGTTGAGTGAAGTACAGCTTGTTCGATTAGATATGCACTATCAGATGCAAAAAAATATGATCTGTAATCTGACCAAATAAACATGTTTATGAAATGCTTGAAAAAAATTTACTACTCTACATTTCTTTCACTTCAGTTTGTTAGAACATTCTACCCTTCTACAACAAATTAGAGTTGAAATATTTCTCTTGAAGACGATGCAGGATTTTAATAACAAACAAACAATTCTGTAGGAAGTAAAACGAAAGCAAAACTAATTAATAATATTCACATTCATGGGACATATTAGGCTGTATGTGCCAAATTGTAGAGAATTTGTCATGGGGACATTCCCTGTGAACAATACTCATTGTAATATATAATTTTTCTCAGGAAAAACTTTCAAGCCATAAAATGTAAATAAAGCCTGCCATAAAATATAAATAAAGCCTGTCATAAAATGTAATTTGCATGCTAAAGTCCAAACCCATAAAGGGATTATTTCCAGGTAGTGCCATTTTGCTTTGAGTGGTAGGTACACAGGATCGGTACTTGCTGTATTTGCCTTATTAAGTGTAAAGACCGTTCCAAAAAAGTACAGTAAAAATAATGACGACTTTCCAACACTTTCGGTAATACCGAGAGGTGGTACCAAATCCCTTAATTCAAATGTAACTCCCCGATATTTTCATTTTTTGAATATCTGACATGATTCCAAATAAATGCTCAATGTAAAAAATCAACCGTTAAGGAGATATTTTAGTTTTTTTTTGAAAAAATAAATCACGCGCCTGTTCATTATAAAACTACGGGCTACCAAATCTTAATTTCGAACAATTAATTTGCAAGAGCATGAAATTTTTCTATTTACCGTTTATGAGTACTTTATTGTTCAATTTAAAGGAATCGTATAGAAACAAATGAAGGCAGTTGTTGAATGATTGATTTGGTCATTTATATAAGCGTATTTTATGAATTCGTTCATTTTTTATATAGGGTGTATTACACAAACTCACATTAGAATTATGTGAATATACAGGGTGTTACATATGTATTAAGGAAAGTGCTACCAAATTCCGGTATAACCGGAAGTGTTGGAAAACCCCCATTACTTTCATTCGATAAATCATATTGGAAAATCTTTTTCCAATTTTCGGGATATGAATCCCATTATTTCCCAAAATACGGCTAACCGGCGGTCATCGCGCTGTAGCCTGTACAATTTCTCTCAGACAAAAGTTTGAAGCCATAAAATGCAAATGAAGTATAATTCACTTTATCTAATAGTTTTCCGAGATTGCAAACTGCAGCCCAAATCCCTGAAGGGACCATGTTCAGGTAGTGCTGATTTCTGTAATTTACTCTGCTGAGTAGTATTGTACCTAGTATCGGTACGTGCTGTATTTGTTTTTTTTTTCAATGTACAGACCGTTCCAAAAATGTACAGAATTTTTTCAAATTAGTAACCAAGTTTCACCAGTAGAAGTTCGAACTTTTTTTAATAACATCATATAACAAAATATGGAATAAAATTAAGGATTAAATCAACAACAGACAAACATTAGAATTAATAAAATGAAATATTATCAAAAACGAAGCGGAATTTCAATATAAGGTAATACCAAAAAGTACAGAACGATATCAAATCCACAACAGAATTTCAATGTTGTTCGAATACAGATTTAATAATAAAATATTAGAAAAACTCCCAAAAAACAGAGTAGTGCTTGAAAGAAATTTGATCAATAAAAAAGAAAACAACCATTAAAAAAGGTGAATCAAAATGATAGGATTTAAAAACAAAAGAAATATTCATGACAAAGAATGAAAATGAAAATAATGACAAGAATATTAGGAGTATTCAATAAGGAACGTTATTAGAAACATTAATAATGAAACATTGTTTTCTATTTTACATATTTTCAATGTAACTCAAAGCATTTCTATCAAGCCTCATGACTAATTGATTCCTCTTCGGTCATATAAGTTTAAAACGAAATAAAATGAAAATATTTTACTGGGTATTGATTTGATCAGTTTATTCCGCTATTTACTAGTGTACTTACTATACAGGGTGTAACATAAGTACGTTAAAATATTCAAGTGACGTATTCCTGAGACAATTTTAAGAAAAAAAGTCTATATGAACTTGTGTCCGAAAATGCTTCGTTTCGGAGATAAGGGGCGTTGAAATTTAATTTTTTGTTTGCTTTTTGAAAATAACGAAATCATAATTCCGTATTAATTTTCATGTAACATCTAGAGGGCGTTGAGGTCCGGACTTCGGGGGCCAATGCTCAGTGCCTCCTCTTCCTATCCATCGTTGGGGATATGCTACGTCTAAAAAATTTCTTGCTAT